TGATTCCCACCTCGGGGGGGTTTCTAAATGCAGATGCCAAATTTGAAAATAATAGAAATTATTATTTAATTAAAAAAATAAATATCCACTTATTAAGTCAGCTGTGACACTTGAGCGCCACAGGTTGCCAGGAAGTTAGAGTGCATGGAACTTCGAGTTGGCAACCAAGAAGACGAGGCTAAATAGTTGGCTAAAAGTAATGGACTAATGGTTGAAACAGACAGCTAAAAGTAAATAATAGATGACAGATGAACATTTAAATAGTTAGTTAAAAGACTAAAATAAATGGGTATGGTTGACATAGCTAATGGATACACTTTTTATATAGTTAGCTAAAAGGAAGAAATAAGTGGTTAAAATAGCTAGCTAATGGATAAATGATTGAAATGTCTGCCTTCTGCCACAAGCAGTACAAATGCAATGCTTGAGCAAACTAGCCTAAACATTGAAAAATTAAACTGTATGTAAAAAATATTACAATAGCCACTTATGTGTAGTTGTGAGCACAGTTGGAACATGACGATGACAGGTGGTGATGATAAATACATATGTAGCAGTGTTGTGGGGTAAAAGTAATTTCACTCAGACAAACGAAAGCTTGACCCCTTTATGTTTTGTCTTCCCATGTACAATTAGGGGGTGATGCCAGATAAGAGGCCGAAATACGAAACAGATGTTGCTGTTCTGAGGTCCAGGGATAAACAACTTTCTACAAGTACCTGATGCAAATATTTCCTCTATAGGTAACATCAACAAACACATTCAGCACACCACACAGAGGCAACTTTTATGGCTATTTACCCCAAGAAGTCACATCAGAACAGGGCCTCAGTCAGGGAAGGCTGGCATCCGCTGACAAACATGGGAAAACACATTTTCTGTTCAGTGTGTGATTTATGTCCGCTGTGTGTCATTATGAAAGGAATGTGTCTGTGTGTTGTCCTATATGTTTAGCAGCTGGGCATCACATGTATGTAGAGCAAAACATTGAACAGTCAACATGCCTGCCTGGAAAATTCAATAAATGTCACACTCTCTCCCCTCTCTGGGATGGATGGGAATATCCGAAATTTTAAGGGAGGGGGTCAAAGGTCAGCATGTCACCGTTACTTGAGCAGGACCAGATGCCGTAAGAGGAGAGAGGCCAAGGGGACGAGAATGAGGGGGAGTGTAAGAGAGAGGGAATTCTGACATAGAGAAAATATTAAACACATTTTAATTCAAAGCAAATTTCAACATAACAAAAAGTTCACACATAATCAAAACCGTGTGCTGACAAAGCGCACGAATTACACAACAACGGCAAAAGACGCAGAACAAACAGAACGGGGCACAGAAAGAAATGTGGGATTAAAACGCAGGCATGAATTACCAAATATGGACACTTCTGACCTCACTATCTCCCTCCCTCTCGCTGCCTCTCGCTCTCCTTTTCACTGTGACCTAGTCTCTCTCTCTTTTTCCTTCACTTGGTAGTAATAGCAGCAGGGTGTGTCTGTAATTCAGGGTGTGTAAAGCCATTATATCATGCAGTCAGAAAGAAAGGGTCCCATTCAATGACAGCATGTTAAAAGGGTGGCATGTTAACTCACTGACCACGCTTGCTGTGTAATTACTTGTGTGAATTCATGTGTGTGGGCATTCACGCTTGAGTGTCTTGGTGAGAACGTGTGTGTCTGTGCATGAGACATATATATGTATATGTATACATCCAGTAGCTCAGATTTGTATCAAATTCTTGAGTAAATAGGTTGTTTAATGCTCCTGTCTGACCCCGATTCTCTTACCTGACATAAGACTGTAAAAATCTTGCCGTTCATTCGAGCAACCAACCTTTGTGTTTTGTTCAACATCACTGCCCTGTCATGTACACACCCCTGCCAAGACTATTTAGGCAACTCGCTTCAGTTCACACAGCCTCTTGACATTATAAAGCAAAGTGTTTGTTTGTGTGTACATAATAGGCCTAAACCGCAAAGAATAATTAAGAGCACCTTCAGCTTTTAAGATAATGCAATAATGGGATTATGGCAGAGAAACTAGTTATTTCAGTCCTCTGTCCTTTGGTCTGCCTGGTTTCCTCCTCCTTTCCTTTGTAATTAACACACAGGAAGGAGTGATAAGACACATGCTGACTCACAAAACTCTGGACTGGGGAGTAAAAGGAAAAAAATGCAAAGCTCTCCCTCTTTTGTTAAAATGTCTCTTTGCTCTTTTAGCATCTGTACTGATTTAGCAACACCTCTAATGCACACTTGAGTCTCAATATGGTAAGCCATGTGTATGTTGCATGTGAAAAAAAAAAGGAGTGATATTAAGAGCAACAGTGGTTGCTTTGTCTGTCTCGGGTTGGTATTTGTCTGGAACAGAATGGAGATCTAACAAGGTGGAGGGCAGCATGTGTTTCAAATATAAATACAGCTATGTATTTACTACAAACACAGAACACTCTCAGGCTGTGCCAGATCTGGGTGTTGTTACAGAGTCGCTCACTCTCCCACACACGCAAATTTCACACACACACACACACACAGACACAGCAAAAGCATTTGGGTCAGTGACAGGCGATTTCATTTTAAACAAACACACAGCAAACATTAACAGTTTATGGTACTGAGAAAGGCGGACAAATTGAGGGAGAGTTACTGCAAGAACTCTGCAACTGTGCCTCTCGGCCCGTTTGTTCAGCAGCAGCCGCTGGCTTCCCCTGTCTTTTTTTGCCTTATATGGTCACAAGAGTGGTTGAGTAAGAGAGAGAGACAGCGGGAGCGAGGATGGAGGTGTGGTCTATTGTTTTTGGCGGAAGAGGTGTAGGGTTACGTGCTGTTCTTGAACCTTTGGAGCTTGTCGTCATCTATTCAGTCATCTATTTCCTCCGTCTGAAGGCAGACAAAGAGGATGAGTGGACAACATGGGGAGGTGTGTGTGTGAAGGGGGGTGGGCAGCTTGGTTCATGAGTGTGAATGCTGAGGTCTAGAGACTAGTTGCTGATTACTAGTTGCTGAGACAGTAGAGGCAGAAAGAGGTTAAAATGGCAGATCAACAAAAGGTGTTGTCATGCATGTCCCAGACATCTCAAAGCTATGCAGGAATGCCTTTCATCCAAGCACACAAAAACTGCATTCGTACATCTGGATCACTTGCCTTAACTCACACCTGCTTATGTAATGACATTGGAATTCCCCCTATTCAGAAACCTCTGGTTGCTACCGAGCAGCTCTGCATGAGTACATCCCTGGGCTTCGTCTGCGATGATCTAATCAAAGCCAGCACTGCTAAAAGTGCAGATGGAACATGTCAAATGATGTGCTCTTAATAAGCAGTCTGGAGGCCCTCGCCATGATTCTGTCAGCTGTGGGCTCTGTAATGACATGCCAGGATGGGAAGGCAGGCAAAGGGTGGGAAAGGCTTTTGGTTAGCGAGTCGTGAGAGAAGAGGGGATGATGAAATGATGACTGCAGGTGCTCTCCTGTCTCCTTCAGCCTCATTTGACCTCATTTACTTGAGTGTTTCTAGCGGCCGATGACACAGAAATGCCTTAATCCTACAGTCCACACACACACGCAGTCTTTATAGGAAAGAGTCCTTGTGCAGCAGCACAGGTAAAACACTGTAGTGGACAGTAAAGCACATTAAATGTCCTTGTTGTTGAAAGGTGCTACTCAAATAAACTTGGCCTGCTATTCCAATGTTAATTATTTATAATGTCCAGTGATAACGCTCCAATTTCTTACTTTTGCTTTTACAGTTGGGAGACGTGGCAACTTCTAAACAAACAGAAAGCCCATAAAGTCAGAAATCGACAGCACAGAGGGTCTTAGGCCCCCACACTGTGTTGGTATGGTGTTTACACTGTACAAACGCAGGAATCACACACATTTGAGCTGGCATGAGACAGGCAGGTGAGAAGTTAGGCACAACTGAGAAATGTGGTTTTGGTTGAAAGATTTTTGGTCAGGAGAGAGACTCAAAACATTATAAGGTCAAGATTAGAGAGAAAGAAAGCAGACACTGTTGATTTGGGGGGATGACAGAAGGGAGGTAATTTAAAGGGCAGCAATAAGTGGAGGGTGGTGTGTGGGCGTTGCAGTCGTGCTGATGAGAGGGTTGTGACAGTATGAGTAACACCTACATGTTCAGACAGAAAGTGGAGATGGGTGACAGAGACCACTATACACGAAGAAGCAGGTAATGATTGAGAGCTACATCATCATAGTAACACTGAAAAAATAACTTGCAACTTGGTAGACTTAAAAACTCCCTTCTCCTCCCCTTAAACTCCCACAGCCTCACCAGTATCCCATTTCTACATCCTTCCTAGTGCTGTCAAAACAACAAACACAGGGAAAGTACATAACTTTAATATTGCATCAGTGTCATTAGGGGGAATAAAGCTAAGACCCCCTTTTTTTTTTTAGACCGCAAACAAAAACACTATTGAAATACAGAACATCTTTGACTCCTTTATTACTTCACTTGGACATGTTTCCGGTACAGAGAGTTCATTTCAGTAATAAACTAAATTAAACTCATATTTGCAATTCCCGCTTGACTTAAATTTTACAGTCAGGACCCAGACACACACATACACACATACATACATACATACATACACACATCTTCCTTTCTCACATTATTAGGCATAATGGTGTAAAATGACCATGTGTGGCTTTGTGATGTTAGACAAATGCCACCATCATGTGGACAAAAGCAGGAACTACAGGTAACACTGTCACAGACCTCATTCAGTATCGTCAGGTTTTAAGTTAAATCCTCTCCACCACTAAAACTAGACATGTTCATCCCTCATGTTATAAAGTATAAGTGCAGTACAGCGGTGTCTTACCCCCCCATTCTACAGACTTTTACAGCAAACTGTTATACACCGGCTCAGCTGCTCTAGCAGTAAGAGTAGAGCCACGGAGCCGTCACATTATAAAAGAGAAATTAAACTGCTGCAAAATGGAGCACGGCATGAACTAAAATGTTACTGGAGGCACACACCCATCCCAAGACAAAAGAAACGGAGGGAAACAGGAAGATGCAAAGCTGAAGTCGTGTGTCTTGGGATGGGTGTGAGCATTTGAACGTTTGCCAGCTGGGACTGTGGCAAGTTTTTGTTTATTTGTTTGGCGTCTAAGGGCTGCCAACTGTGCCACAATCGTACAACAGCACCGTAACGGTGGTCAACGGCAGGGCGTGGGACAGTTGGTTTATTGTCCAATAATCTTGCTGACAAATGAGTCCAGCTCATCATCGTCTTTGATCCCCACAAAATGGTCGACCACATCGCCTCCTCGCATGGCGATTACTGTCGGAACCGCAGACACCTGGAGACAGACCAAGTTGGGGGTTACAAGACAAGACTAATAATATTACGACTAAACAGTGACAAAAAGGAAAATAATTGGCAGAATTTGAGTTTATATGGCAAAACCAAATGTCAGTAACTACACAGAAATACTGTAAGTCTCACCCCGTATTCAATTGCCAAGTCTGTGTGATCGTCTATGTCAACTTTCGCCATGGCAACACGGCCTTGCTGTTTCGCAACAGCCTTTTCCAACCTTGGCCCGAGGATCTTACAGGGACCACACCACCTAAAAACACAGAAACACAACCAACGTCAAAGTGCTCATTCTCAAGAAGACAGAAGTATTGAGTAATCAAAGCAATTCCAAAGCAGACATTTTGACTGTAATAATTTAACTGTTTCAGAAAGCAGCCCTCTGAGTAACTTTGCATATTTGTCATATTGGTGCAAAATCAACCATCAGCAAACATTTACCATATCGGTAATCTGTGAATTCTTCTCCTGTAAAATTGGTATCGGTCTTAAAAGTCCCCTACGCACTAGTGGGAACAGGGATAACTCATTCACATTCACACATTCATAAAATAAAGAGGAGATATGTGTATAAACCCTCTTCTTTTCTTATTTGGCATTACAAATGCTTCTTGGCTCATTCACAAGGTCCAAACATTTCGTGTAAACAGCTTTGTGGTTGTTATTAACAAATCCATCTCTGGGCAGAAGAAGGTGGGACTGTCAATCCATTTTTGATCTGCAAGAATGTTTGGTGGCTTTGCATCTGACACAGTGCTAATAAAGAAAACTATTTGGAAAGTGAGTGAGTGAGTGGGCAAAACATTAACGCTGAACCTTGTTTACTACTTTTCAGGAGGTGGAGTTATTGTCAGTTATGAAATACTGAATAATGAACTTCCAAGTAATATTTTTTTACTTAAAACAGCAGGACCTGTAAATCAGGTTGCGTGAAATTGTGTGAAGTAGTGAGTGAGAAATTTCTCTGTAATTTCTCTGAAACCTGAGTCAACAGTAGATCAACCGTCTGTTAATGTTGTAACTTTTTCTTACTGTAACTTTTTATTGCAATGTACTTCATCTACCTGACCCTTTATGTGGGTTAAAATGTAACCAGAATGAATCTCAAACAGAATTTGTGTCAAATAACCTCAGGAGATGAAGACCCCCTCTGCTGTTGTTTAACCTCACATGACTTGAGAGTGTATTTATTTTTAAACAGCAACACACACACAGACACTATATGTAACACTTATAGCCATTTAAAGAGGCAGGGCAGCTATAAAACAAGGTCTTTTTCAAGGTCAGTGACTGAGTCCCCAAACAATACACCATCAGTGTTAATACAGATTCTCCTGGATTAAAGTGCTCCAACACAGCAGCACTCATCAGTCCTACTCGCTGAGAATCAGGCTGGTTTTATAGCATACCTAACACTTATTACAGTACAATCACCCTGTGTGTAAATACAATCTGGATAAATGACCAGCGTGAAAACTTTCCCAGGATTAGAAAAGAAGCATGATGGCAAACAAATGCTCCAACAAGCTGAAATAATGATTTTAAATGTAACATTTATTCACACTTTAAGGCTTTAAAATGAAATCTAAAGACCATCTCTACAGGGGGGTGTATGTTGTTGTTGCATGCACAATCTTCAAAACTTCTGCTACGAGACTGAACTTCCATCAGTTAGTCAATTAAACAGTTATTCAATAAACAGGGAATTTGTAGATTCTGACTGATTTGAGTAAAAAAGTAAACGTGTAAAGAGCTGTTTGCGTTTCTTCATTTCTTTATCATTTGTGAATAAATGTTATAACCACAACTATAATCTAATCTCACATTACATTGGACTCTTTAATTACTCTACACCTTCATATAGTTGGTCTGCTGGTCTACAACCGCCCCTCCCTGGGGTACTCACTGCGCATGGAAGTCGATTAGCACGGGCAGCTGGCTGTTGATGACCCTCTCTGTGAAGTCCTCATGGTCCTGAACATTGAAGGAGACTTCCCGGCGGGAGGTGTGAGGAAGGGAGCGCGGCAGAGTGCGTGAGGGAGAAAGGAAGGAGACCCGGGCCGCGGCGGACTGCAGGGAGGTGGAATAAGAAGAGGAGGCGGTGGTGGCAGTGGATGCTGGGAGGCAGCGGATATCTTTCGCAGACAGCGTCCAAATTCTACGTACTAGCAGCCTGTGAGCCATCTGGGACAAACAGACAATAATGGAACAATAAAAGAAGAGAAGAAGAATGATTGTTAATAGAGTTCATTGTGATTTCAGGCCACTAGTTGAGCCAAGAGCAGAGGGGCTGCACAATGTTTTTACTGTAACACCAGAGAGGACACTTATGTAAGAGCAGCATGTTTACAGTCAGTCTCTACATGCAGGGCCTCT